GTAGTTAACTGACTCATTTTATCCTATTTTACAAAAAATCAACATCCAAATATGATTGGTTTAACACAGTATAATCCTGATTGTTAAAAGCTATATATTTCTTTGATAATTTTGATTTTGATTATTACCCTGAAGAAGTCCAGACAAGTTAGCTGGACGAAACGTTGGAATTAGTTAAATTTCAATCGCTGAGAATATTTCAAATATAATTTTCACATATAATGACTTCTCTATACTCGGCGCTCAATTACTGTCAAACTATTCGTTCTAATCTTGACGAATATTCGTATAAATTTGTTATTCATTGTTTCGCTAATAATTCATTCGCTAGAATTTACACTTGGATATTGTGTTGAATTAGTTCTGAGTCTTAGCCTTTATCGATTATTTCCTGTAGGTCTGATAGGACGATTGATTTAATAAATGTTCTTACGATGAAAATGTTTATCTAATTATGCAAATATAGAGAGATTTGTTTTAAATTAAATGACTTGTAAGACCAAAAATACAAATAGTTCAAGCACAGTAGGAAGTTTATCACCAGACATATTCTTAAATATTTTATAAAAGTATACATTATTTAGAAAAAGAAAAAGTTTGATATTTTTTTCGTTCTTGTCACTGACGTAGCCAGATAGTTGCTCACGTTATTATTTTAAACAAGAATACATGATTGGCATTTCATTAGCTGACAGACCTTTTAAATTCTTAATTTCTTAGTAAAATGTTTCTTCGACCAGACAAAAAAAGAACTAAAACGTAACCTACTGTGAATAACTTACTGTAACTATGAATAAGGATAAATAAACTCAGTTATAGTAAAACAATAATAAACACTAAATATCAACTATATCGGTATGAACTGGTGGCTTAATAGTTGAAACATTCAACTTTTAAACAATGGGTTGTAATTTCGTATCTCTTTATTTATCTACTTTGGTTAGGGCAAGAAGGTGATACTACTAGGAGCCACACAACCATTGTTGCTTAAAGCTAAATGCACAAACCTATATTTAGCAAACGAACCTAAAATTGAATGTACACCACACATGACTGTCTTCTTGTTACACATAAAATGTAGATAAAATGAAGGAATTTCATAAGTCTAAAATTTTAGCTGAGCAGCCATAATTCTTAAATTGTCTAAATACTCTTGAAAACTTTTGTACTATGTTTTATAGCAACCTAGCTAGTCTCATGATGTCTATTATTACAAACTTGTTTGGTAATATATATATATATATATATATATAACACTTTGTTGTCATAGAAGTTTCATTTAATTTGGATGCCTTAACAGGACAATTAGTGGGATGAGATGCGATCACTGTTAACGCAGCTGATTGATTTAGATTGGTCGGCTGAAAAAAGATCAGTGTGAAGATCATAATTAAAACCAATGACAGTGCAGTAAATAAATACAGCTAATCACTGTTGCAAATAAACCATTGAATGTTGAATGGCTGCCCCTCTTGAAAAGATTGAAGGATATATGTTTACATTTAAATACATCGCGATACAATTATAATTTACAGGTAGATTTACGTCTACACATTTCTATGTTTCTCAGACCAAGCTCAATAAACTGATTTATAATGAAAAGTCTACTTATTTAACATGTTCATATGTTTAGTATTTTTATACACACGTAGGAAATAACTAAATCATTGTTTTGGAATAACTAATAACACCACTTTTCAAATTTTAGGGTACATACACAAAGAATGTATAATTAAATTGTTTTGTTAATATAATTATTCTGATGTTCAACTAATTAGACCGAACTCTGAATCGATCTAGCTAAAGTAATAATCTGGTTTTTAAATTAGTTACAAAAAGCCTCAATCGATTGAATCTTGAGTGTGCAAATATCTATTACGAAATTTAGTTTATTATTTCTTTACAATTCAGTCGCTGCTTTACGACAGGTTTATACAATCATTAATTAAAAATAAATGTCACTTGGTCTAATTACCTTTTATTCAATGAAAATTCTTTGTGTTTAATAGTTAACTACGAAACAGCTTTTTTACATGAAAAGGTCTTTCAGTATATAACGATCGGTTTGAAAATACTCATGAACAGTTTATCGGTTTGGTTAAGTAATAATTGAATAGAATCAGCAAAAACAAAAGAGGAATATCACTATAAGTGTTAAAACATTTGTAAGATTTATAAAGTGCAAATGACATAGTTTCACTGACAGATCCACTCAAAGCACATTGAACCGTATTCAAACTATGATCGAAATTTCATTGCTCAAGATAAATAGTTTATCGCAATATTATATTATCGCTTCAATATTTTGAACTGTTCGTGTTTCTTCTAAACTAATAATTTAACATTACAAATTCTTTTCTATCAACAGTTATCTAAAATGTAATTGAGCATTAGTACACATTTGATAATCGATCTAATTTGCCAGACAAAACACCGGAATCATTTTAATTTTATTCGCTGAGATTATTCAAATTTAATTTTGTTATATAAGTTGCGGGAAGTGATTTTTGAGTTTTAAATGACAGATAATTGTTAATATCAATGCTGAGGTCGGATATGATAGCTTCAAATAAATTGTTCATTGGGTAGAAAGTTAATAATAATAATAATAATAATACAATTTTCTACCCATTGGAATATAACAAAAACATATTTATTACAAGAAATGTGGAGTCGATCAATCATAATTAAATTCAATAGACAATTTTATGATAGGCTTTAGTGTACTCACAGATGATTCATTACTCTTGAAATCATTGAACTGTCCTTATTCTGAATAACTTTGTGATATGACGAGAAGAAAAGTTAGAATTAGATTGATTTACTCATTATGATTTTTGTTCAACTTCCGTTTTAATTCATTGTGATAATTACTTAGTGTAGCCTTCGGTTTTGTTTTCCCGTACGATATTTTATTTGATATAACATATGATATAATTGTATTCAATGGACATGAACTATTCTCAGCATGACATGTAGCATGGGATAACTCTAAGTATTTCTCATATATGTGATTCGTACTAATCAATAATTAAAATGGATGTACAAATCAATATATATACAAATATCGAGTGTATTTTCGACTAGGGTCGTCGTCGCCTTGTTATGAGGTTAATAAATTTTCGTTTGTACCAGTCTTTGTGTTCTTACTTTCGTGTCATGGGAATTATAGTGGTTCTTTGCTTTACGAGTCTAAGTGATAAGCGATTCCAACATAACAATTAGCGACGACCAGTCATAACATTTTGTTGTTTTATTTTCGAATGGACTAAAATAAATGTGTACTAATTTTTATTTTACTGAGGCGTAATAAATAAAATTCATCTTTAATCATACAACAAGGTTTCTATAATAAATTGGATTCATGTATGACAACTCAGTTTAAGGCAAAACATTGATTCATTTTGTTTCGTTATGATTTTGCCAACTATTTACAATGCGTTCTACATTATTATCAAAGTTGTGAATGAAATTTTAAAATGTATATATTGGAAAATAATTGGTAAAATACTAGTGTGAACACTTATTTGTTTACTGTGACAAATTCAATTAAAACTGGTAACAAAGTATGGTAAAATCTGAAAGTATACGAGCTTTATTGTTTATTAATGAGACTGATGAATTAGAAAAAGATATAACATTCCGCGTAAATGCAAGATTATTAAAATATGTTCATTACTTCTCTAGAAGACCCTGTTTTTGTCTCAAAAATGTAACCGAATCGCATATACACTAGGTGTTTGATGTTGTTAATGTAAATAAGTGTGGGGTTGTTGATTTATAAACAAAAATTTCTAAATATTTTTATGATTGAAGTACGAAAAAAATTTATTTAAAATATATCGAATTCCTTGTTAGAATAACGAAAATCCCATGTATACAAACGAAGTTCTTCAGAAGTCAGAATATGGTTTAGTAAAACTAAATACACTTATTAGGTATAAATCCGTATCTGTACGAATCGTTGATGATTTCCAGTACATATCCTGATACTGCATACGCAATGTATCACAAATTAAAATAATTGAAGAAAGTATATGAATTTTAAATAGCAAATTCATTCTAATCAGAAGATTTGACGTTTCATACATTTTGGCTAGGGTTAAGATTATACTAGGAACCATAAAAAAAACTGAAATAATTCATCACACCTCGACACGTTACAGTATGTATGTACTATTAAGCTCACATAAAATGCGTAATCATTATTATTATGAGCTTTATTCAGTAATGGCATTTTCAACATACAGTTTTCTGTTTAGGAATCTAATGGTAAAAACTTTCAACCTTAGTCAATTTACGATGAACAACGATCCCTACTTAAAATGATATCGATACGTTACTTTTTATCGCTAATTAATCAACTTCACAAACAGCATCTTTTACCAGTTCTTGATGAATATTACCCTCATAAAATATTCAGTGATGACTTGAGTACTTAAATACTTATACATAGGTTTCCTTGACGAATTATAAATACTATAAATATTCTACTCTCAACCGACTAACAAGAAACCATAAGGTGAAATGTAGTGAAGAAGCCTTACTATTACGGTTAGTTCATGTACAAAAAACAAGGGTATTTTTAAGACTATGAGATTGCAGAAGGGCCTAAAAACATGACAAAATCAATAAGAATACCGTTCATTATCTAACCATTACTCGCTAAGGTGTTTTTAAAGAAATCTCATCAAACGAAGTATTTTAATCATTTCTCCAGTTTCTAAAAACTTTTCCGAAAATTAATCAAGAGCTGTCAGTAAACAACATTAGATTCATTATTATGACTACCTAAACAAATTTGACAATATGTAAAGAAATTCGCTTTGTAACACATATGCTCCAAGTATTAAACGGCTATAAATAGAAATTCATAAAAATTAGTTAAAATAAAAACATAAGTCCACCCACTTAATTCATCTGATTCCAACATTAAATTTAACATACTTTAACTGTATTTATAATTGGTAAACTTCATTAAGTATTGAACAGAGACTAACTAACAATGTAAACAATGAATCACTTCTAATCACAGTCACATTTATGTGGTTTATTCAGGAAAGCAGTCAGAACGTTATAATTAATAAGTCAGTTATTCAGTTTTTATTATAAAACAACTACAAAGCTGAACACAGTCAGCTCTCGAATACGCATATCATTCAACTTTACCTAAGAAATGAGTAAGTAAATTTGATACTATATATTGTATTATAAATATGTCTTATATCAGTAGACATTATGTACGTATTAATCAGTAGAATATTTTAAAATCTAATTCCAGCCAATCAAACTATATTCATGGTAAATCAAGCAGTTATCAGTAACTTTGTAATCAACTGATAGTCTATTTATAAATTTCAATAATTTCATGATGTGGTTGATGTGAAGTAAATATTTCACGATTGTTACATATTTTGTTTACCAATATCATAAATAATTAGGACAATATGTGTTAATCAACCAAGTCCATATCACATTTTAATAAGTTATGAGATTTTAAAAAACCTAACTAGATCACCATATATGGGCTAGTAAAATAAAGTTTGTTATTAAAATTAAAACAGCATATCTTTACAATAGTGACTATGATTTCGTAATCTTAGATTGTCAGTCACATATAAAACATTTTAACCCTTTCAATTTCTAACCGGAGATTGTTTCAAGTACACTTGAACTTTAGCGAATTATTTTACATTGACCAGTCATTTTCATGAATGTTATGCTTTAAGTTGTTCTTAATTAAAATGAATAACTTGTGTCTGATAAAATATAATGTGTAACTGATTAAATATCCTTTTACTAATTTATTCATAGTCAAATTGAAAATGCAAGACTGATACTGTTTATAGCATTCAAGTTCTCTTGAGACACCCTATAGTCTTTTGTCAGTAATTTTACAAATAACGGTCAAAAACAAATTATTGTTGATAAATAGCCTGATGAAATGTGGGAAATACTTAATATCTTAACGGAACGCTTTAAAAATAGACTTCACCTTGACATTACTACAACAAAAAGAAACCAGGAGAAATGGAATAAAGCTTGGAGTATGAAAGATAACAAACGTTGTGCTTTGTGTAAAACAATAGGTTTTCTGACTATTCGTTATGCCTAAATGTAAAATTTATAATTTGGAATTTACGGTTAATTATCTAAAGACAATGAGGTATTAGATGAAAAACAATTTATTGAAAAACGATCTCAAGTCGAAATATTAAAGTTTACATACACATTAAAGCTATTGAAGAAAGTGTAAGTTTAACAGAAGTAAAAAATAGCTAACAGTTTATTATGTATATCGAATAAAGTAAATGAAGACGTAAGCAATATATGGTATACTATTACTTCCAGACAAAATAAAAGCACACCTATACACTTAGTTTTGATTGAATATTTTCTGTACTAAATGATTTTTAACATAATACTTCTAAGAACAGAATCAAAACCTAAATAATCTAACAAATATATTTTAGAGGCTTTACAATAACTGAATCCTGAAAATATATCACATGCTTATATTCCAAATGTGTCACCAGATATTTCACAAGAATTAGCAGTGGTTTCATCATATTATCTTAGACACTTCAAGTATCAGACAAACAATTTTCTAGATTAGAACTATTTTGATTTCTTTTTATACAACTGGGAACATTGATTAAGATTTTGGAATATTAGTAGGATTTCAAATTTCTGACGAAAACAATAATCCTGAAAAATATTATGTTGGGTTTTGAAAAATTGTATAAATGAATTTCTCAGTATAGTGTTGTGGAGATTGTTGAGTTTTAATTGAAATCATGAACCGACCAATGTTGGACCAACATTGAAAATTTGGACCGAGGGTCCTGGATGTGTCCCGCACGGAATCGTGGATGCGTACTGCTGAGGAGTCACGTCCTAGGATGAAACGGGCGTTCAGTGCTCCCACGTTTTCAATGGTGGTCTAACATTGGTCAGTTCATGATCTTAAAAAATGAATTTAGTTGGAACTTTGTATAGAGACTGACCTGCACAGTGTAGGTTATATATATTAAAGGCAAAAGAATATCCTATAACACTGTTATGAACAAATAAGTATAGGGATATAAATAGGTGGTTATGTAGTCGAATAAAATGACAGGCTTAAATAGTTGACAATGAAATTGTAGACAATAAATGGATAGAAAAGAATGTTGTAACAAAATAACCAAATGAGGGAAAAAGTTAAACAATATGTCATTCCACCACCCAAGCTACAGAAAGAATGAAGACTAATTCGTTTTGTAAAAATAAATCGGGTTTCAAATACAGAGATCGGACTAACCTTTAGAAAATTCTGACTTATTGGTTTACTAATGATCTTGAAAGACTTAATTTTCTCAATCGAGTAACGGTTAGAGGTTAGATGCCTAGAACTGACCACCTCTATGATTAGCCTGATGTTTAACTGCTATTTTTGTGAAGAGTTTAATTTTATAACAACCGGATAATTTAACTTATGGATTTGGAATTCTGATTAAAAATTCCTTTTCAGTACATTATTATTTCATACTGGTTATAATAAGAGACCAAGTGATTTACTATATTATGATTATAAAACTAAATAGGTTTACCAAACACAACTGAGGACGTTCTATAATTAGATATGTTACTTAAATTTGTTTTTGAAGCTCTTGCTAATGAATGTGATCTCCATGAAATAATAAGGTAAACAAGGTGATTTTTAAGATGAGACATTATAACTAAGGTAAAAAAAGGTTAGATAATTGTTTTTAGGAAACAAATTTTGAAACATTTTGTGAGAGTGATTAAAGCTAGAATAATACAAAAGAGGTGAATATGGACTACTTTTAGTAAGTTTCTATCCATCTACTAACTTTCTTTGAATATCAGTCACTTGTAATAGAGTCAATTTCTATTGTCTCTATGTGTGATTTTCATTTGATGCTTGAAAATAAGTTCTAGCTGTTACATTGGCTTTATAAACTTTTCCTCACTTTCACTTTTAAATTTTCTATATTTTAAAGGATAATTTAGTAAACTCAATTTAAATAGTTTCATTCGAATAATGTTAATTCATAAGAGTGAAATAATCTGTTTTTCTGTACGATTTTAACTTGTTGGCCAACTGAGTAGTGAAAGCATCATCAAATTCTTGATAAATTTCCTTCTCCTGTTTTATGTTTTTTTGACAATCTTTACCAGTTACTGTAATGGTAAAAATAATAGTAAACTAATGGAAATTGTCTAACTTACTTACGCCGGTTACCCCTCGTGGACGGGCATATACTGCCCACCAGCATTCTCCATCCAACTCTATCCTGGTCAAACCTTTCTAGTCATTTCCAGTAGCTATTCATCCTTTTCATATCTGCTTCCAATTCTCAAAGTAGTGTCTTCCTTGGTCTTCCCCTTTCACTTATCCTGTCAGGATTCCAAGTTAGGGATTGCCTCATGATGCAGTTTGATGATTTCCACAATGTATGTCCTATCCACTTCCAGCATCTTTTCCTAATTTTCTCCTCGGATGGAAGCTGGTTTGTCCTCTCCTACAGTAGGCTGTTGCTGATGGTATCCGGTCAACGGATATTGAGTATCTTGTGTAGACAACTGTTTATAAATGCTTGTATCTTTTTTATGATGGTTGTAGTGATTATTCACATTTCAGCTCCGTACAGCAGTACTGTCTTGACGTTCGTGTTGAAGATTCTGACTCTGATATTGGTTGAAAGTAGTTTTGAGTTCGATATGTTCTTCAATTGTAGCAATGCTTTCCTTGCTTTGCCAATCCTCGTCTTTACGTCTGCATCATATCCTCCTCGTTCATCGATGATACTGACCAAGTATGTGAAAGATTCCGCATCTCCCAGAGCTTCTCCATCAAGTGTGACTGAGTTGGTATTCGCCCTGTTTTGCTTTTTCGTTTGTGTATATCAAGGCTTACTGATGCGGAGGTTGATGCTACACATGTTGTCTTCATATGCATTTGTTTGTGTGTATGGGACAGAAGGGCTAGGCTATTTATGAAGTCCGAATCGTCTAATTGGTTCTGAGCTGTCCATTGTATTCCACGCTCCCCCTCAGATATCAAGGTTTTCATAATCCACTCGACCACCAAAATAAAGATGAAGGGTAAGCGTAAGCAGTCTTGTCTGACTCCGGTCCTGACTTGGAATGCGTCTGTCAGCCGTCCTCCATACACGACTTTGCACTGTAGTCCATCGTATGAATTCCGGATGATGTTGACGATTTTCTCAGGTGCTCCATAGTGTCGAAGAAGTTTTCATAATGTTCTCCTATCCACACTATCATAGTCGACGAAGTTGATGCACAGTCATGAGTTCCATTCAACTGGTTACTCAACGATGATCCACAGTGTCGCGATTTGGACTGTGCAAGACCGATCCTTATGGAATCCAGCCTGTTGATCTCGAAGTTGGGCGTCTGCTGCGTCTTTCATCCAGGTCAGCAACACTCTGTTAAAAACGTTCTTGGCACCGATAGTAATGTGATGCCCTTGTAGTTCTCATATTTGCTCAGATCCCCTTTCTTTGGTATTATGATGAGGTGACCTTCTTGACAGTCTGACAATGGCGCTCGTTCTTCCTCCCAAATCTTCCTGAATAATAAGTGGAGCATGATTGCAGTTGCCTTTATGTTTGACTTCAGTGCTCCAGATGGTAATGTTCCACTGCTTCCCAATCGCTGATTTGTCTGGTGATCTTCCTGATTTCTTCCGTCGTTGGTAAAGTGATATCTATAAGAAGGTCTGTGTGTGCTGCTTCGATATTGGGTGGATTTAGTGGACCCGTCTATTCAAGAGTTCCTCGAAGTATTCTACCCATCTGTTACTCTTCCCTTGGATCTCGATGATTGTCTTGCCTTCTTTGTCCTTGACCGGTCTTTCTGACTTACTTTATTTCCCTGCTAATTACTTCGTCGTGTCATATGGTTGTTTCACATTTCCTTCTCTTGCAACCATTTCCGCTGTCATTGCTAGGTCTTCCGCGTATTTCTGCTTTTCAGCTCCAATGCTCCTCTTCACTTATTTGTTTCCGTGCATTCGGCGTGTGCTTTGACATGTTGAAGTTAGTACTTTTATGATATTTTCCCAATTGTTCTCCATAGTGGTTTCTTCTTTTCTGAGTTGATCTTGTGAGGCTTGAAAGTTGTTGTAGAGATCTATCATGAATTCGTTGAG